GCATAAAACATTGTAATTAATCATATAACAAATGCAATTTATCTAAAAAGACATATGAACATTTATTGCAATATCCATCAAAATGCAATAAAAGTGATGAACTTTACATTTGAAGATTTGAAATATAATCCACCATATAAAATAGAATATTAAAAGATGCACCTCTTTGATTTGGTTCGCTCATATATTGATCATTTATCGTTAGGCAATATATGATACAAGAAGCGTAATTAAATAAATGCATATGAATTATTCTCATAATTCCGGTCCTCTTATTCCAAACCAAAAACTCCTAAAGTGAAAAGATTAAAGTTTTATCCGGGTAGTTAGCCAGGTAAGGATAGTAATAGAGGTTGATCAAAGATCAATTAAGTACATCGTTCCTTGCAGAGCGCGTTACGCAACCCTTAAACCTTGCCTTAGACACCAACTAATCCAAAAAAACTTGAATCGGTTCACTCAATAAGTTTTTGTTCCTTAACAATATATATAAACTTTAAAATATTTCCTGCAATCATTTAAATTGCCTAGCAATTATACTGCAAATATATGTTGGATTAGGCCGAGGAGGGGTTTATCTATTGATGTTCGAACCTCATGATTTTTATGTCTTGAGAGTAAAACCATATCTGCTGCAGACAACTACCACAGAAGTTGCTGAACAAATTTACATTCACTTCTACCACCTTCTGTACTAAGCTTGTTAGATGCATAAATACACTAAAGTATGGAATTATTAATAGAATGCACCATATTAATAGTTTAAAGAAATGAAAGCATTAAACCATGAACAAATCCAGATATTTCAAAGCATCTATTTTGTTTTCTTTATTCTTGTCAAAACTATGCATATGAGACTTTCAAACATAAATAAGTATTAAAAGCTCAAATTATTTACTGGTGATCATCAACGTTCAAATACAGAGCATATTTTCTTTAAAAAATGGTTCATTTTGAACAAAGAAATAATTCCTCCTTAACAACATATAGTGGAGGTAACCTCATTTTGTACTTAAACTGGCAATCTGTTATCAATTAATTATAAAATCAGTTACAAGTTGCAATTAATTGTAATTAAAATTAATTACCAATAATTAATTGCAACTTAATTAACAGCAATTAAATGAATGCAATAAATACAATAATTAACAGTAATTAAAACACCTAATTACAAAATTAAATTTATTTAGGATGAACAGTAACAGTTAATTTTTTTTAAATTTTAACATCACACATATTTTTTTTTAACTCAAAAAAAATTCACTTGCAAAAGGGTAACAGGAGACATACCACATGTCTAGAGTCTAGCTTCCTATGACATTCATCACACTAGCAAAAATTTGATACAGAGAAGGGATGCCGACCATCTCGGATCTTAAAATGAGAACATTGTAAAAGATAAACCGCTATCATATGAGAACATGCAATAAACCACTGACCAACTAATAAAAGGTCCAGCGAATATCCAGACTTTTATTTATTTGTTTATTTATTTATTTAATAACTGTAATATTGTAATTAATCAATACTTAACAGACAATTAATTACGAAAAAACAGTTAAGAGTAATTATTTAAGCAATAATTAGCAACAATAATTAATAATTAATTACTGCATTTATAAATTCGTATGAAAAGTAATAGATTTTTTAAATATTAATTAATAGATAAGCAATTAACAATAATCGATTTTATTTTTTTATTTTTAAGAAATATTAACAGCAACTATATGAATAGATCTAAATGAACATTAACAGAAAAGGATGAATTTTTTTTTCTCGTATGAACAGTAAATTATTTTAATGAACAGTAACTTTTAATACAAATTTTTCAGATGTAAATCAAAAGCTATAAACTTGTCAATCTTCTAGATTGTTGGAAATTTATCAAATAATTAAGATTATAGCATGAAATAAATTCGAAATAAAAATAAATAAGAGTTAAGAAAAAACAGGCCTGACGGGAGAAGTCGTGTAATCACTACCCTAATAGATTTAGAACCCGCCTATCGTCCTGGCGCAAATGGTTCTCCCCCATAGCGGTAAAAGCCCCCGGAAATGGCCGGCCTCTGTACTCGGGCGAGAGTACAGAGCTTCAGCTCAGATGAAGAAGATTGCCCAAAAAATTAATAACAAAATTTATAGAGGGGAAAAACAATTTTCTTTAAACCAGAGGAGAGGAGAAAACTTTATTTTTTCTTGTGTTTTAGAATGTGAATAATGGTGTATTTATAGGATTGAGGGGGAGAGGATTCTTTTCAATTTTTCGATGTGGGACTAAAACACAAAGGCAAAATTGCCTTTTCTTAATAAATATCCAACAAATATTAGGGAAGCAATTGAGACTATTCCTCCCACAATTAACTATCTACTTCTTTATTACTAAAGGGGGACAACATAAAAGCTAAAATGGACAGTAAATTTTCTAATTTTCCACACGTATTCCCCCCTTAATTCTCCACAACCGTCCATTGTTGAGTTAATTCACCGCAACCGTCCAAACTACCCACGTTTCAGAACCAAAACCCATGTCTCCTTCAAAAAGATTTGATGAACGATTAACTAAAACCCACGTTCTCTCTCTCTCTCTCTCCCTCCCTCTCTGACATTCCCCATTTTGTCTTCTCTTTCTTCTGAGGAGCGGCGTGAAGCACTTTCCCCATTTCTTTTCTCTGCTGATTTCCTTCCCTTCCCCTTCCTCCCCTCTCCGCCCTCTCCCCCGAACACAATGAGGTCTCCATCCCTATCTCCTCCTCCCCCTCCCCCGCCAAATCCCCCGTCGTCTCCTTCAAAGACCGCCTCATCTTCGACGACCCCACAAAGTCTTCCGAAAACACCATTCTCCCCTATGAAGAACAAAACCAAACAACAATGGCATCTGAAGAAACCAAGAGCCTAAAAAACCCATCAAAAGAAACCAATAGCATTCTCAGCCCCGGGTTCAGGTCTGCGACGACCATGGCCGGCTAGGATGAAGAGGCTGCTATGAATCTTGACCCCAATAATAGTTTGTTTTGGTGATAACAAACATTATATGTTGTGTGTATTATATGCTAATATTTGTTTTGCAGTATCAGAGCTATATCAATAATTATATTCAAAGAGATACTCAAGATATAGATAAGTTCAAGGCAAAATGAACCAAAGAAGAAGATATACTTTATTGTCAAAATGTAATTTTACTTTTTTTTTTTTGCTTAGAAATTTGTACAAGCCTTGATCACTCACATACATGCACACACATAGTGTTAGAACATACTAACATATGCTTAGTGTGTTGGTTAACAATAGAAATCACATATATTAATCATTAGAGTTTATATATATTTAGTGAGTCTTAAAATATTTTATTTATACCCCTTAGTAATTCGAATTTGAAAAAACTCAAAAGACCAAAGTTGTAGGTCTCTTCAACAGATTTCCAATAAATCTTAAATCACCTTATTCCGATGTCGGATGAGAAAGTTATAGCCAAAATACTCAAAATAAAATTCCAGAATTTGTGAGTTTACAGTGTAGTCGACTATTATGCCTTGTAGTCGGCTACTAAGTAATTTTTTGACTTCACAAAGTCTGTGTAGACTCAGTGTAGTCGACTACTATGACTTGTAGTCGACTACAGATGTAGTTTTTCTAGATTTTAAGTTTTGAATAAGTGACTGTTTATAGCCGTTTTGTGGACGTTAATTGGGTTTAAAATTATATCATTTCAGAGGCTATAAATAGGTTTAAACATTAGAAAAAAAGTACCAAGTTTTGCACTTGTAAGATTCACATATTGTGTAAATTAACTCTCTAAACTTTTAGTTTTTAATTTGTTTTTCCATAAAAGAGAGTTTCTGATATTACATTTGTTCCTATCATTCTTAGAGCTTGTTTAGGCAATATTGAGAGAGTTAAAAAGATTAATAAGCTATTGTTACACATTCACATCCACATCAAGGCTTATAGGATTGGAATTGTATACATTGCTTCAAAGAAAAGTTCTCTCGGTTTATGAGAGGGATTGATCTCTTGGTCTAGAGGTCGGTTTACAATTGGCATGGTGTTGTCTTGGGTTTGCAATTTGCATGGTCTTGCAAATTGGTCAGGTTTGAGTTTTGATTTTGTAAGTTTATTCAAAATCATAGTAGAAATTCTCAAATGGGATTTGCTTGGGGACTGGATGTACACCGGGAAGGTGGAACCAATATAAATCATTGTGTTTATGTATTGTTGATTTTCTGTGATTGTCATTTCTTCTTTGCAAATTATTATCTACTTTGCATAACATTTTATAAAACACTATTCACCCCATCTAGTATTTTTAGTGTGATTAGATCAGATCCTACAGAGACCCATCTCCTCGCCAGCCTCATCGTCGAGGATACGCCGATCAAGGATTCGAGGCACAAGAAACGATCAAACCATCACAATCTCAAGTCACCAGCTTCCACAAACTCTAACATGTTAACAAGAAAAAGAAGGGAAATTTTGTAAAATAGACCGTTTTTATGAAATATATAGCGAAATAGACCAATTTGAAAAGTAATTAGCAAAATAGACCTCTTTTTGGCCAACAGACCAAAAAGAGGTATATATTTTGCAAAACAGCTCAGAAAACATACGGGACTAGTTGTCCCGTATGTTTTAATCACGGATTAGTAAAATTTTCTACTCGGAAAATATACGGGACTTCTAGTCCCGTATGTTTTTTGAGTTACTAATCCGTGATTAGTTGGCTCTAAACATACGAGACTAGTAGTCTCGTATGTTTTCTGAACCTTGTTTTTCAAAATCGACCTCTTTTTTTCAAAATAGGTCTATTTTGCTAATTATTTTTCAAAGTGGTCTATTTCGCTATATATTTCATAAAAATGATCTATTTTGCAAATTTTTCCGAAAAAGAAACGTCATCTTTATTATTATTTTTTCCCTTCATGTTTTTCTTTCAATTTTGTTGGGTTTTATTAAAATGGGTGTTCTGGGTTTTGCAGAAAATGGAGGTCGAAGAGGCGGCAGACGAATGATTTGATGCCTGTTGTAGTTCTTTGCCTTGATGATGGGGAAGAGGATGCCAAAAAAGGTTGTTTTTTCTTCTAATTTTGTTTATTTTAATAATCTGATTTGGGGACTTTTTATTGATCACTATTTAGCTGGGTTTTGTTAATCGTATCGGGTTTTTGACTGCCGACATTGATGTGAAGAAAAATGGAGTGGGGAATGTTGTTGATGATGATGGTGATAAAGGGAAGAAGATGAAGGGAGAAATTTTTTTTGGTGAGAATGCATGTTCATCTGATAATAATAATAAAGTGCTTCCATGTATGGATCGGTTGAGAGAAGAGCTTTCATGCGCTGTAAGGAGATAAATCTGTTTGGTTTTATATATATTTTTGTGCTTCATTGATTTGTTTCCATCAATTTGTGAATTGTTCTTTGATTTGGGTTTTTGAAAATTTTAAAGATTTGTTTGGAGATTTGCTTCGAACCGAGCACTACTCCATGCGGGCACAAGTAAAACCTGAACAAATCACCTTATTAGAATTTGTGTCTGTGATTGGTGGTCTTTTGAATTTCATTTCCATAGATTAGTCTTTTGAATTTCCTTTTTCACGCATTTCCGTTTCTTTTAATTCGAAGGACGAAAGCTAATTTCCTTTCTTTTCGAATTCCAATATTTGTTTATTTGTTTATTCTCTTTCATAGCTTCTCCAAGAAATGTTTGAAGTGTGTGGCGGCCAAATGTGGGAAACGATGTCCAAAGTGCAGGCAACTGAACAGGTAATCTCTGTTCTGCAAATATTGACCATAAGAAATTATGACAAAATTTTCTAATGATTTTGACTATTTTGAAATTTACAAGTAAACAACTTGTAATTTATCTCCGATTATCTAAAATAGGCTATAAGTATTTATCTCAAATTTATTGAAGTGATTATCATCTATTATTTATCTGAGACTTTTTTTTCAATTTTGCTTCAAACCATGTTTATATTTCATACTAGAAAACAAGATAAGTATGATTTAGGATTTTTTATCCGCATTAAATTTTTAAAAGGAAAGGAGAAAAATACCTACCCAAATATTATTAAAATTTGTCTTTATTCTTATATTTAATTCCTAATGTAACCTTATTGAAAAATACCTACCCAAATATTATTAAAATTTGTCTTTTTTGACCCGAAGAACCCTCTAAGTTATGTTAAAATACATACATGCATACATAAAATAGTTACATGCATATATATCTAACCATACCCCTTCATATTCTTTTCATAACTAACCCCTAATTAGAAAACAATAGTAAGTACACCTTCAAATTAAATCCACTATTGTTTCTGATGAATATATAGAAAGGCTAAAAACTAGCCATTCCCAAACATCATAGAAATGATGTTTATAGAAAAATTGGTATTTTCAATACTAAATTTCTCAATAAACATTATTATATGTGTGAATGTGTTAAGGAAGATGCATGCATACTTCATCTTTTATTTTACTTGTTCAGGTAAATATATCTTTTATTTTTGAAAGGTCAATTCTTAAATTTATTTTTTTGTCTTTTAGGAAGCTCTGGAAAACACATATTCTGAGGTTGTTGCACAGAGCCAAGAGCCCCTGACTAGAGAGCAGAATTATAATGTGAGCCATTTAGTTTGTGGACTTCCCAAAAAGGGGAGGACCAGGTGGATGGGAGTTGGAGCTCAGAGGGTGTCTACACAATTCCAGTCTCTGCCAATTTCAACACCATCGACTATGTCCTCGGGGCCCTCTTACATGCCGCAGGAGGATTGCACTCAGCAGGCGATGTAGCCAGGGGCGTAGCTATGTAGAGTTTGCCCTGGGCAGCTGCCCAGGGCAAGAAAATGAATTTTTTTTAATACTCCTCTTCTTCTTGTTTCCTCCGTCCTCAGCTGCTTGCAACATCTCTTTCTTCTCCCTCCTCTCTTTCTTCTCCCTCCTCTCTTTTCTCCCGTCCTCCAGAAGCTCATTAATCAACCCATCCAGGCTCCAGCCTCCAGGCGGCTGCTCTCCAGCCCTCTCATCCTTCTCTGATCCCTCAACTCAGCTCTCATTCAGATCTCCTCCATCCCAGGTATCTCTTTCTATAAAACCCTAACCCTAGATCATTTCCTCTTTCTTCAATCTCTAATCTTCTTCCTCGTTTACTAGGGTTTCAATGGCGAAGTCGAAGAACCACACGGCGCACAACCAGTCCTACAAGGCCCACAAGAACAGCATCAAGAAGCCCAAAAAGCACAGAAACGCATCAAGCAAAGGGGTAAAGTTTCGATTTTTACATCAGAAAATTGATTTTTTTTTCATTACCTTTTTTGGTGATTTTTTGAAGTGAGATTGATTCGTTGTAATCAGATTCCGTCTCATGTAAGCTCTGATTCTCTATTAATAAATAGCACATTTTCTTCTTACCGATTTATGCTTCTAGGGTTTCTAAAGGTGGAATTTTTTGCAATTTATTAAGAAGATTATTGTATTCCTGAATGAAATTGGGTTGAGATTTGATATATATTTGTTGAAATTTGTGCTTGGTTCTCTGTGTTGTATAGCCAAAAGGGTAAATTTTGGGACTGCAATTATGAGCTTTGTGTTTCGTGGAAGCAGATGAGACATTGAGAGTGGGTTCTCTGGATTTATGCCTGGGAGACGATCAACAGTGATAATTTTTTGATTGAAGTCTTCATTTTGCCTATTTTTTGTTCTTTTTTTATTGATTTCGTGATTGTCACAGAGAGCGCATGCGGGCACTCGACCTGTTAATACAAATTCGATGGTGTCTCTTCTTTTAGGTAATATTTTCGCTAATCAAAGAAACAATTTTAGCTGTTAGTTGGGTTTTGACTAAATTTATGCACATTGTGGCCTTTGGCAGTCCTTTTGCTGTTTATGATTCTCAACTCGCACCAAATTTCACCAAACTTTCTGGTAATCTTTATGCAGTGTTGGTCATTGTCATTTTCAGTTAGTGATTTTCTTCTGAATGCATTTATATTGGGTTTTAGCTTTGGCTAGTTCTTGGAGTGTTTTTGGTTGCCACATGCCTTCCAATGTATGCTTGAAAGCTTTAGTGGGTCGTTGGCCATTTCATCAATTGGTCTCAGATTCTTCAAAGTTCTACACCCTCAACCTCAGGTACAAGTTGGGTTTTTCTTAATCATATTTTCCCTTCTTCATTTAGGATTATCTCCTGTTAATTATGTCTACAAATTGCTTAAGATGATGTATCTTATAATAAATTTAGCATTTTCAGGATTATCTTGTTTTGGTGTATAAATAGGAATCATCAAGCTTTGTAATGGATTCTCTCTCTTTTGAGAAATTGAGTACCATGCTTTGTTATTTTTTTCGCCCAGGGCAACAAAAATTCCTGGCTACGCCACTGGATGTAGCTTGTATCCTCTGTGATGAATATGTTAGATGGTCAGATTCCCGAGGAGATGTGGGAGGATATTCAAGAGGAGCTTATGTGAGTGATCCAACCTACTGCTACTTTTGCGATGGTTTCCAGGCAAATAATGAAATCTTGTAGAAGGCAGGTTCCTACTCGGGTGCAAAGCCAGATTATGAATTTTTTTGGCCACTCAAAAGGCATTTACTGGTAGTGGAGAGAGTAGCCGGCAGGTATACTTATTATATATGTGAAACATGATTACACACAATATGATGTGATTCTAAATTTAAATTATTTTGTTGTTAGAGTGGAGATGATGCTATTAGGAGCACGAGTCGTAGGGATGGAGCCGCCGGTGGCAACGCATACAATCAGCAATAGTCCCGCCAGGGAAGAACTATCGCTGACGGGGCGCCGTCAGTAATGATTATTACTGACGGCAACAATGTTAACGGCAAGTGCCGTCAGTTATAATGAAACATCGCTGACGGGAACCCCGTCAGCGATGAATATAACATCACTGACGGGAATCCGTCAGTGATGTTTGTTGCTGACGGCTTTTCGTCAGCACTGTACAAACAATCGCTGACGGGGATGCCGTCAGCGATAACTATCGCTGACGGGTTTCCCGTCAGCGATGTATATACATCGCTGACGGGTTTCCCATCAGCGATAGTTATCGCTGACGGCATCCCCGTCAGCGATTGTTTGTACAGTGCTGACGAAAAGCCGTCAGCAACAAACATCACTGACGGATTCCCGTCAGTGATGTACTATACATCACTGACGGGATTCCCGTCAGCGATGTTTCATTATAACTGACGGCATTTGCCGTCAACATTGTTGCCGTCAGTAATAATCATTACTGACGGCGCCCCGTCAGCGATAGTTCTTCCCTGGCGGGACTATTGCTGATGGCATATCCTTGACGGCTGCCGTCAAGGATACTTATCGCCGACGGGATTTTAAGCATTCCTGACGGGGATGCCCGTCAACGATACCTGATTTTCCACTAGTGAATCTTACAAAGTTATAGTTATTTACCAAAATAGGTGTGGAATAGGTACTAGATCACGTATCCTATAACATAGGAATGTGAGGGAGAAAACCCGGGTAAAAATTACAGAGGATGTCATCGGAATTACAAAGGAGCACTGAAACTGTTAGCTTAATTTATAAGCCAAACACTGAAAATTATTTGTTTAGTACTAAATGAGCTATTGAATCAAACTTTATCGAATATCTGAACGAATAAAAAAAGCAAAAAGCACCCCTATATTCATATCTAAAGCAGAATACTTTATTTTGATAACATGTTCAATATTTACAGAAAATTTTTTAGAAAGCGTGTTTTGCACGTGTCTAAATACTAGTATTAGGAATTTGATTTGATAATATGATAACGTTCTGTCATATATATTAAAAAAAAGGAAAAGATTGTAAATGCGCTTGGAATTCTAATTCAGTTGGAGATTCTTATCAATTAACAAGTCTCATTTCCTTTTTCTTCGTTCTTTTTTTAATAGTTTCAGAGGGTCGCCTATTATAAAAGCAAAATATCTAAATTATGATCCAGAACTAGCCAAAATTCGATATCATTAGTTTAGGAAAGAAAGTTGTAACCAAATGCAATCAATTATAACCCCACCAAAAAAAAAAGAAGGAAAAAAAGATAGTAACAATAGTAAAGATGCACATATTTCTGTATGCCGTGTAAAAATACTTCTAATGTGCTCCTTTTGTCAAATAAGAACCTAGACGCAGGTTTTTTTTTTTAATTTTCCCAAGTTTCAGCAATAACAGAAAATGCTTTTGGATTTATTATTTTCATGGTATTTGAATGATGTACCTAGGTACAGTTTTAATTGCAACATGCCTCTGACAATGCTAAACCAAAACATGGACCATATTACTGAGATGGAGAATACGGAAACATTGCTATTATGCTTGGAAACAATGTCAAACATTCTTTCTTAATTTATTTTTAATCATGATATTGCATTGCACGTGTAATCTAACTAGTATATATATATATCTAACTAGTATATCTATCTAACATGGCCTCCCCTGAAATCAACAACGAATACTCATCAAACCCGTCCCTCCCTTTCGACATGGTCTCCGACATCCTCCTCCTCCTCCCCGTGAAGACCCTCTCGCGCCTCAAGCTGGTGTCCAAATCGTGGCTCTCCCTCATCTCCAGCCCCTCCTTCAGGTCGTCCCACCGCCGATCCGAACGGAACCCTCTCCTCCTCGTGGCGACCTCCGAAAGCGACGGTGGGGGACACCACTTTCACGTGCTAGACTACTACAAGAAGCGAGGAGGAGGAGGGAAAGCCCTACTAGACCGTGAAACCACCACAGGCTACTACTCACCGAGGGTGTCGTCGTGGTTCCACAGGAGGCTCGTCTTCTCCTGCGGCCTCGACCTCGTCTGCATGTACGATCCCGATGACTTCTACATCCGAAACCCTGCGACCAGGGAGCAGATCACTTTGCCCAGGAAATCTTCGGGGTTTCCTGGGCACGGCGGCCACGCGGTTGCATTCGCTTACCTTCCTTCTACAGGGGAATACAAGGTGCTCCGTGTGTTCGGTGTGTCTCCTTTCTTAAGTCTCCAGCACCCAATTAGAAGAAGTGAGGTCTTCACACTTGGGTCAGGGAGATGGAGGGAGAAGGAGGGCCCCTCCTTTTGGGTTCACGATGATAACTCGGCCGTCGTCGACGAAGCCGTGCATTTCCTGCCAGGTATTTTTACATGGCGGCTGGCTGTCGGTGACCTGCACCACGATGACGACGAGGCAATAGCCCGGTTTGATCTCAAGAAGGAGAAATGGTCAAAGCTACCGCTGCCCGGCATAAGACATTTCTCACGGGACTCTCGTGACGAGGCGTGGGACTTTCGCCTGACGCGGCTGGGCGGATCGCTGTGCATGGAGTGCTCGGGGCGATCGAGGGTCGATCTGTGGCTGCTGGAGGAGGGCCGTAACAGCTGCGCGTCGTGGGTGAAGGCGTACAGCATCGATCGCTGCTGCTATCCTCATCAGTTGGAAGAGCGCTGTTGGAGAGGTCCGACGGCAAGCTGCAGGTCTACAACCCAGCGGAAAAACGAGTTGAAGCGACGATCTTTAGTGGGGAGAGCAACTTCGGGGTCAGCTTCTACGTAGAGAGTTTCATAACTCTGGACGATGAAAGTTTCAAGTCTTTAAAGAAGCAGGAGGCCATATAATCTTCAATTTTCCATATAGTTTTTTTTCCGGGCAAAATATAAAAATATATAAAAGATTCTAAGTTATGCAACTAATTAGTTTTGAAGTGCCTATGATACAAGTTATGTGGAGGAAGGAAATCTTAGGTTATATATACAGACTTGGAGGAGGGGAACAAAAGAAAGAATTTTTCAAGAATTGCAAACAATTGTAAAAGAACTTGGAGCAGGGGAACAAAAGAAAATCCAATGAAACCTAAGTTATTAACTTTGTCGATATATATTCACTTAGAATTTAGAGAAAGAAGAACAGATATCCTAAAAATGGACCATACTTTGTATGAAAAGTTTTGTATAGAACTTATTATGAAGTATTATCACGAAAATTTAAAATTTCTAACCTTCAATCGAATATCTTTGAATCTGAAAGATGAACGACAAAGTCTGCAACCAATCTGACTAACACCATTAGATTAAAAAAACTGTGCACGTGAAAATCAGCTATTTTTAGATAACTCTCCTAAACTTCAGAAATGACACTCAACTCCCCTTAAGATTTTCATAAAAACATCCGACTAACACCATTAGATTAAAAAACTATGCACGTGAAAATCATGCGCATAGACCAAAATGCCCCACATGGAAAGACCTTGTCTTCTTGCTATTTCACAATACGCAGGAAATAGTAGTGTAAAAAAAGTAATACACTATGTTTGTGGTTCTAACTTAAAGGTCAGGAGAACACAAGTTTGGAATCAAAACAAAACCTAAAACAATATCCAACAAAAATTCACAACAAAAGACTAAGACTCTGTTTGGCAAAACTAGCCGAAAGCTGCGAGATTATAGCTGAAAGCTGTTAAGCTAGCTAAAAGCTGCTAGCTGTGTAGCTAGCTGATTTAAGTAGAGCTGTTTGGCAAAAGTAGCTGTACAACTAACTTAAAGTTGTTAAATGACTAAAAAGGACATGTGATATTATTGATATAAAATTAGAATTATTCAACACTCATTTATTTATTTACCTACTTATTTACTTGTATATTTATTTACCTATATAGATATCTAATATATATATATAGTCATATATAATATATATATACTATATGCACTATATATATATATATTATATATATATATGAGTTTAATGGGTATCCTTGTCATAGAAGGGGATTTCCTCCTTGACGCCCTCTAAAATCACAGTGATTGAGTAACATAGGATGATCCGCTCGTTTGTAACTTGTCGTAATACCTTATTCTAAAACCCCCCAACAACACCAAGGTTTTTGGTGGTGAATCTTGTCAATCGGTTTGACCCTCCATCGGAGCCGATGTTGAAAAGTTCATATTCCATTCAAAACCGGGTCTAAAATTGATATGGAGCGTGCCATGCAAGGGGGAGGCTTCAAACCGACCCGATGGATTCACCCCAAACTTAGGCGGTGTGTTGATTTTCAGAATCATGTTAGATTCAAGTTCAACGGACAGCGGATATCCACCAAGTCCGCCAATCATTTGATTTTAGAGCGTCAAGCGGGGCCAGGAAATCCCGCTCCATGACAAGGATACCCATTATCTCTCCTCTCTCTCTCTCTCTCCCTCTCCTCTCTCTACATATATATTATATAGTACCGTACTCATATATCAATATATTATAATATATATAATATATATATATATATATATATATATATATATATATATATATATAGTATCCAAAACTTGTTTTTCATCTATACATTAAAAATTTCCAAAAACAAGGATCTCTCGTCTATGCATCGCCAAAAACAGCTAATGTAAAAACAATTTATCACATTGACTCTCATAATAAGTGAGCAATGTTATCACGAGCTTCCCTCATTTCAGAAGTTGTCCCTCTTGAAGAATTACTATTCTCATCAGGATCCTCGAGTTCATCTTGATTTTCATCTTCGGGTACATAATTTGGATGCTGCTCTAACACTGTAAACAACGGATCATCGACTGAGTTAATGCGAATATAATTATGCAATGCAAATGCAGCTAATGGGAGATGGAGGAACAAACAAAGGAAGTCCAATGGGAGGGTCGAAACTACCTTGACAATGGCCTTCAATGGAGATGGAGGAGAACAAACAAAGGAAGTCCAATGGGAGGGTCGAAACTACCTTGACAATGGCCTTCAATGGAGATGGAGGAGAAACATGCTCAGGAGAAGCAGAAGGGGTGCGAAACTACCTTGACAATGGCCTTCAATGGAGATGGAGGAGAAACATGCTCAGGAGAAGCAGAAGGGGTGCCAGGCATGAAATGGAAAAGAGCTAGGGTTTTTTGGGTGGGGTAGTAGCTTTCATTTGCCCTAATTATTAGGGGCAAAAACGAAAAAAAATTGACAGATCCTTCCCAAAGACAAACGCTACTTGAGGTAGCTTTTCAAAAGCTAATTGTAAAAGACACAATCTCCAAAATAATATCCTCCTATTTTTTGTCACCAAACAACTCTACTAGCTTATTGACTAAGGGGCTGTTTGGTTGCACACTTTTTGAAAAAACTTTTCTTAAAACATCTGATAATGGTAAATTTGTAATTAAAAGTTTTTCAGAGATTTCTGTAAATTGTGTTTGGTTCAACAAAAAATTTACAGAAATATTTCCTATAAAATATCAAAACCTACCAAATTTTATAAAAAGCAATTTCTTCTCAAAATGAGAGGAAATCACCAGAAATCTGACACATACCGTATTTAATCAAAAACCTACCAAATCTTGTTATTTTCTATAAAGTTATGAGCTATTTTCTTGTTTTGAACCAAACAAACAAAGTACAAAAAATAAGAAAATTGGTACTTTTTGATTTCTCAAAACTTTTCCTATAATTTTTTTAAGAAATACAAGGAAATCATATTTTAGGTGGAAAATATTTCCTACAATTTCTAGAAATTGAACCAAACACCCCCTAAGTCAATAAGACACAATCTCTTAGATAAGACACAATCTCTTGTTGCCAAACAGTGCCTAAGATAAAACAAAATCCAGCAGCTTCTAGGAATGCTAGTGAATTATCCCATATGACGAGGGCAATGACTTAACTTTCAAAAGATACACCTACTGCCTATACAGAGTCATCATTCTCATCATCTACTCATTCTCCCATAAGGGAAAAGTTATGAATCACAGATCCAAGCTAGTAAGCATCACATGAAATTTGATTCAAATTTCTTACCTACAGGGCTACACTATTTAAGCGGATATATCGATGATATGTCGAAAAATATTGGGGTCTCATATCGGATTTCATAAACACTGTAATAGGCAATATAAACACATTTAATTACGAAATGGCATCATTAATAATGATATATGTTGAAGATGACTAACCGATTGTACAGGCTTGCTTCTCGACGGCATCTTGAAGCCTTGCAAGTGCGTAACTTTTAAGATAAGAAAATAATGTTAGTCAAATTAGAATATCAAACAAGCAAACAATACAAAGAATCAAGCATCAAAAAATTAAGAGACCTGAAATGAAACACAGCTAGGGGTGGCAATTTTTCCTACCCATCAAGGCATCAACCCGGCCCGACCCGTTTATAATCGGTATGAGTTGAATTACATGGGTCGGGTCGTAAACGGGTCAACCCAATTTTACCACCCGAATAACCAAGGATTTGGGTGCTTTTGTGTAGTTCTCCAATACAAAGAATCAACCTCCTGCCAGTGGGGCTGCTTGAGGTTGTCGCGGCGGAGGTGGAGGTAGCGCTCGCCCCAGGCGTCGATGAGGGCGGAGGTGGCGCCGTCGCTCCAGCTGTCGCTAGGGTTAGAGTTTGGGTTCGGGGAGGGGTTCTGGATGGGGAGGGCTAGGGTCAGGGTCTGGGGAGGGGGATGGGCGCTGGAGGAGGCGGCGACGGTGAAGGCGATGGAGGCGGCGACGGCGGAGGGCTGGGGATCGTCGGAGTTGGTGTCTGGGTTTGAGGTTTCGGCCATGGGTCTGTTGCCGACCGGCGATGCTTTTTTTTTGTCTCCTCCTCCTACCTCGATGGAAGCGTTGATGGGGGAATATATTTGGGTTTTTTTAATGGTGGGGTGTTTTGGAGTTTTTTCAGATAGGTCACTTGAGTGGGTGGTGCTTCTTTATTTGTCAAATTTATTCTTCATGTTTTTTGTTTTTTTCGACATTTTACATAACATATTTTACTTATTTTTTTGACTTAAAATATAGCGCTGCAGAAGAAAATACTGTAGTGGAATTTACATTTTTCAAATTAAAAAGGTCGGCGAACATATTATTCGTCAAAAAAATGTGGTAAACACTTGGGTTAATCGGTTGTAATAGGTATTGTAAATTCTCAGGAAGAATATAAAATATAAAAATCAATGTCACCTCATCGGTTAAGCAATCTTTCCTAATTCGTTTCAGTTGAAATTGTATAGTTTCTGTGTCGATTGTTTTAGGGGCTGTTTGGTTCGTTTTTTAACTCGGTGGAAAAGTTTTATACCGTCTCCACATCAGATTTTTCATGGCCACGTAGGATATAAGCTTTCCGTCGGTTTTTTTCTCATCTTTGGTTCGCTAGGGTTGAAGAAGAGAAACTCGGTGAAAATCGCCGCCACATCAGATTTTTTCTCTCTCCCCCAATTCCTTCCTCAACCTTGTGAAATCGACGAAAACTGCAGCCACGTCGGTTTTTTGCCATATAAACAAAAGTTTTTCCTTTTTTCTCATGCGAACCAAACACAAGAAAAATAAATACATTGGTTTCCCACCATTTTTTTTGTGCGAACCAAAGCGAAACAATCTATTTCTTAGAAAAATTTGGAAAACTCAAAACTTGTATTTTTGTACATGGAAATGCATTTTCCTGTATCTAGGAAATGAACCAAACAGCCCCTTATCACTGAATTTGAATAAATATCTTACACTATTTGGTATACTTCCTTTTCAGAAAAAAGCTGCTATAAATATTTCAGAATAAACTTGAACATATATGTTGCATTACTTATTGCAACAACATTTGCTAGATTTTTGAGGGGTTTATATGCAAAACAATCTGAGAAAACCGAAGAAAACGAGGGAATGAAGAAGAAGAAAGAAACACTAGTCGTTTTTCTTTTGAACTGTCATGACATTAAGTTTTACCATAAAAGATTTCTATTTAATTTTAAAAAAATTGTTTTGTTTTGTTTTCATGACATTTTGCAATTGACAACGCTGGGGGATTAAATACACTAATTCAAGTAGCCAACCAACTCCAGCATTGTCCTAAAGAAATCAAGATTATTTAACTTAGGATGCAAAATATAGCACAATGATAATCAACAGAAATGGCACAAACAATCCACACTCTTCTTAAATACTAAACAGAAAATCGAAAAATGGTATTCAAACGCAGCAACGTCTATCATCACTCGCATTTTAATACAAATAAAAATAGCTCAATTGGTAGGCACTAACACAAAATAAAAACCTAAAAAATCTTTTTGATGATGAAAAAAAGATGAAAACAAAAAAGGGGAATCTAACCTGTAAAGTGAAGAGCATGTCCTCAATCTGAACCTCTTTGGTTAATAAATCAGCCCCAATCGTGGCTTTGTACTGGTTGCTGAACTTCTTATTCACATATCTAAAATTACCGAATTAAGTCCAAATCACGCGTAAAATAACTCCAAATCTCAGATCACATTAAAAAATACAGATTATTGAAATTCAAAGCTCATAAGAACTCGAGGATACTGATTCATCAGTGACGGTCTTCCCAGCCCTAAACACGATCAAACAAAAGTCAACAAAAATTACAAATAATTAGATGCAAAATATGAAATTAAAAAAAAATAGAGTTGGACCGATGTACGGAAACCCGCTGCGCCGAGGATGATGACCTTGAGAAGCATACGCCTTTGAGACGCCATGGATTCGAATCGAATGGATGGATCCCTTGTGTGTGTGTGTGTGTGTGAGAGAACACTAATTTTTTTTGTGAAGAAAAAAGAGGATTTTTCGGTTCAGGTGGGAAGAAGAAAGAGGGACGGAAAGAAAGGGAATTTGTGAGAGAGCAGTTGCCTTAGACGTGTGAGAACGTGGGTTGGTTATTCATTTAGTTTTTTTATTCGTTATAATCTTTTATAATCTTAGGTTACTGTTCATATTATCTGTTTTGTTGTTCTCCTTTACTAACAAAGAAGTAGATAGATGTTCTGTTCGCTTGTGAATAGTATTTGTTCTCCTATTCTGACTAGAGCTACTACTTGAACTTTTTTTAATGGGAAAATTTTTAAAATGGTCATTTTTGCTAAATATTTATCAAAATTCTCTTTTTGGTATGTTTTCTAAGTTCACTAATCCGTGATTTTTTTAAGTTGGCTTTAAACATACAGGACTACTAGTCCCGTATGTTTTCTGAGTTGTTTTTTAAAATCGACCGACCTATTTTGTTAATTATTTAGCAAAATGGTCTATTTTGCTAATTATTTAGCAAAAAAGGTCTATTTAGCAAAAAAGGTCTATTTTAACCCAAAGTTTTACCCCCAATTATTTTAAAACCCATCCACTTTACTGAACACCAATAAACCCATTATACTCATTTGGCTTAGTTTTAAACCCAATGCTCCTTATACCTCTCTATCTCTATACTGTATTTTCCCTAAAATAGAGAAACCCGACTTTGCCCTTTCTCTCTTCTTCTCATCACCGTCAACATTAGGCATTAATGGCGACAATGGCGGGAGAAAAGGGCGGGCTACACTCACTCTTCACAAACCCCCAATTTGGTACCCATCTTCAATTACTCTCTCCTTCTCTCTCTCCTTCATTAATTTCTCCTCTCTTCTTGAGAAATCTCTCTCCTCCATTAATATTTCTCTTCATAGAAGATATTAATACTACATCAGATCAGTGGTTGAGATCTCATGTTCGTTTCTTGCAGTAAAAGAAGACATTTAAAGGTAACTATAAAGTGATTGAGATCCCATCTTTATATCTTGATTTGTTAAAATGTCTAAATTTTTAAATGAGAAAACCTTTATCGTGTTGAGACTACTATTTTCTCACGAGAAAACCCTAATTCTATTGATTACATCATTTGTAGTGAGAGTTAGGAAAGTGCTATACTTTCTTTAAAAATTGCTATGAAAAGCTAAGCAATGTACCCGTTCTATATTTTCTTTATTTGATTCACAAAATAAAAATCATTTGTTCCTCATTTCTATAGAATGTAGAAAAATCTGGTCTTTGAATATTTAGGAATGAATATTGAATTATATTGTATAGAAACATAGAGAATTGCATATTGAATGCCGATGTTGAATTATATCGTATACAATAAGAAAATGCATGTTAGACTTGTGTTTGTTTGGTAATATTTGATTGTTAGTTAGTTCCCCACTTATTTTATTTTTTATGAATTTCAGTAATGGAAGAAGAGCTATATTGTGCAATTATGGACTTTAGAGGAAACAATCATTTGATTCCAATGAATATCAAGGGGACTTTCAGTAATTTAGTGGCCGAGGTGCAAAGTAGAATTGCTTTTTTTTCAAGCCCAGTGAAGCTGACTTATGAAGTCCCATATACAGAAGAATTGTTTGTACGTGTCCATGATGACGTCGATTTGTCAACAATGTTCGATGTACATCTAAGTTGCAAGAAGAAGATAGTTAAGATGCATGTTGACATAGATCGAGATACATTATTTGGTCTAGAGGAAAACACCATTCACATAAGGTAAGAACTTATTGTATATTGTGAGGTCCATATTTCACAAAATTAATCCATGTTTATTTAATTTCTCTGTAGTTCAAAGAAAAATTATGACGATATAATATGTCGGCAATTAGCTGTAGTACTAGATAAGAATTTTCATTAATGTTTCTAATTGCTAGTCTTATAAGGTAACTGCTTTATGTTTGCAGGAATCCTACCATATCTCTTTCGGAACAACATGCATCCTCGACGCATAATCTATCCAATTCAGAAAATGCATTACGTGAAGTTGAGAGATCTAGTATTCAGATTCCTATTTCATGGTATCATGCCATTAGAAGTGTCGGACAAGAATTTAATGACGTTGAACATCTAAGGCAAAGTCTTGGAAATTACTCAATTGCTCTCGGTTTTAACTTTGCTTATTTGAAAAATGAACCTAGAAGATTGATAGTAAAATGCAAAGGTGCTGATTGTGAATGGATGGTCCATTGTAACCGTCGTACAGACTGCAAACGGTTTTACGTGAAGAAAAATGGTCGTGCACATAGTTGTCTCGGAGGAGGCATAGGAGATAAGGGACATCCACGGGCATCTCGTAAGTGGGTTGCAAATATTGTGAAATCCATACTAAAAGAACAACCCACCTACCGCGCAATTGATCTTAAAAAGAAGCTTCTAAGAGAGTTTGGCGTTGATATCCCCTATGGAAGAGCTTGGTGTGGGAAAGAGCTTGCTCAACAGGAGTTATATGGGTATGCAAAACATTCATATGAACAACTTAGATGGTACAAGGATAAAGTTATGGAAACTAACCCAGGATCAATCGTCCATCTAGAACATGAAGATGGCAGATTTACTAGATTTTTTATCTCATATTATGCTTGTTGGAAGGGTTTTGTCGAGGGATGTAGACCAATTTTATTCTTGGATGGCACCCATCTTTTTGATAGGTACAAGGGAACTCTACTTGCTGCTACTGCTTTGAA